TTACTTTTATTTTATAAATCCTACCCTATGCCTTATTATTTAGTAGTTATAACCTTTTATCTACCTAATACCTTCTCTTTTACCTTATTAGTTACTATAGTACATCCTACTACTTATAGTGAATTTATTAGCTATTTTATTCAAGCCTTAATAGATAGGAAAAAAATAATAATAATAATAATAATAATAATAACTTTTTAATTACTTAGTAAAATTAAAATATTTATATATAAAATAAGTTATTTAAAGGCTATATAATATTAATTTAAGCTTTATTTTATTTTAACTATTTTATTTTATACTTTTATTATATAAAATAGCTAGGGTATCTATTATGTGGCACTGTGGGGTGTCCACAGACTTTTGGACCATAATTTTAAAAATCTGGAGCTTCCTTCCCGTCCACTTAGACAATGGGCGCTGTACCTCTAGGAATCGTTGCTAGACCGGCCAGCTAGAGTGCGGGGCAAGGCTACTCTCATCCAATCAGTGGCGGGATAATCGAACCTGAAAGGCGTGGAGTGACTCTCTTGAGTGTGTGTGACACACCGAGGCCGGCGCAAAGGGAAAGTGAAGGAAGAAAGGGACAGGTCAGGGTCTGGAAACCACATAAACTATGTTTTTTTTGGCCCTTCCATGTCAAGACGACTTGATGCATTCTTACTTTTACACACTTAGCTCTTCTTATCATATTCCCCTTTCTGCGGCGGTTTTCCCAGTTTCGCGCAATTGAATTCCTCTCTTCTCTTAACATCCCACTCTGACTTGTATACCCTCTAACCCCACCATCGCCGTCACCATGTCCTCTGTAAGTCCACCTCTTGGAGCTCTCTGCTCTCTACTCTCTACTCTCTGCTTTCGGTGTGAGGGGTGACTCACGGTGATCTCAGTTCTTCATTCCCAACAAGAACGTTGGCAACCAAGCCGACTCGGAAGATTGGAGAAGTAAGCATCTGCCAATAGCTCTGGCTTAAACAACTCGTCTTCCCAGCGCATATATTAATTATTTCTAGTTCGCGGTTACAACCCTCTGACTCCCCCCGACCTCCTTCAACACGAGATCTCCCAGACACCCGAGTCCAAGAAAACCGTGCTGCAAGGGCGTAATGAGACTGTAGCCATTGTTAATGGTACCGACGAGAAGAACCGATTGCTTGTCGTCATTGGTCCTTGTTCCATCCACGACCCTGCTGCCGCCCTAGCCTACTGCGACCTCCTCTTGAAGGAGAAGGAGAAGCACAAGGATGAGCTTCTCATTGTTATGCGATCTTACCTCGAGAAGCCACGCACAACTGTTGGCTGGAAGGGGCTGATCAATGACCCTGATATTGATGGTAGCTTCCAGATCAACAAGGGTCTGCGAATCTCTCGCCAACTCTTTGTCGACCTTACAGCCAAGGGTATGCCCATTGCCAGTGAAATGCTGGACACTATTTCTCCCCAGTTCCTCGCCGATCTGCTCTCAGTGGGTGCCATAGGCGCCCGTACAACCGAGAGCCAGCTTCACCGTGAGCTTGCCAGTGGTCTGAGTTTCCCCGTGGGCTTCAAGAACGGAACTGATGGTTCTTTGAACGTCGCCATCGATGCCATTGGTGCAGCTCAGCACCCACACCACTTCCTGTCTGTTACCAAGCCTGGTGTTGTCGCCATTGTTGGTACTGAGGGCAACAATGATTGCTTCGTCATCCTTCGCGGTGGCTCCAAGGGCACCAATTTCGATGCTGAGAGCATTGCTGCTGCCAAAGAGGCGCTCAAGAAGAAGGGCGTACGACAACGAGTCATGGTCGACTGCAGTCACGGCAACTCTTCCAAGGACCACAAGAACCAACCCAAGGTTGCTGCCGATATTGCAGGCCAGATCTCCAAGGGAGAGGAGGGTATCATGGGAGTCATGATTGAGAGTAACATCAACGAAGGTGAGTCATGATCATCGTTAACAGAATCAGCCTCAGCTAACGTATCAAAGGTAACCAAAAGGTACCCGCTGAGGGTAAGTCGGGACTCAAGTATGGTGTAAGCATCACCGATGCTTGTATTAGCTGGGAAGACACTGTCTCAACGCTCGAGACTCTTGCGCAGGCCGTGAAGGCCCGCCGAAAGCTCTCAAACGGAGCCTAAACTCTGATTTCTACCACATTATGGGCATGTAATACTTTTAGCGCTCGATCCAAACAATATTTTTTTTTCTTTGGGATTGGGGTTGTATATTGTTGCAATGGCTCTCGTATTTGATTCAAGGCTTGGAGTTTAATGGAATCTTGATTCAAAGGATAGATAAAAAGCATTAGGCAAAAGGGCGAAATATGGAAAGCAACAGACAGTAAGAAGATATTAGGTTATTTAACATAAAATAGCCGGGTTTCCATTGTGTGTGTAAATCAGCCATTTACCTAAGGTACTGGAGTGCATCACACACTGTCCCTGCCAGATGCGCACACTGTGATGGCCAAGTTTGTTATGCGGCACGGCGTTATTGCTCCTGGCCTGAACTTATTAACACTGTGCCACTAAGCTTCCAACTGGCGTTTTTGAAGGACGAGCAACCTGAGTTCTTACATTTCAGATAATCACCAGCCCGCTTATCAAAGATACTCGTAGTAGTTTCTGCAACTCAATCATCAACCGGCAGCTCGCTAAATTTCTCCGCTATTTGAATATCATCAATATCCATTAACCCCGTGCAAATCACTCTCAGCTTCATCGATAAGGAGACGCGCTTGAGCGTCCAGGTCGCGAACAATGGCACGCGACTACTCACCACCTGAGTCGCCGCTCTCATCAGTGGACGAGTCAGACCAATACGAAGAGGACGGCCATGAGTACGATGAATCAACATTGCGACCCTCGAAGCGCCAGCGACTCGAAGCCGGTTCAACTACATCTTCTGCTGTAGTTCCTGATGTCGAAGCCGAAGCGGTGCCTGAGCCCGATCCCCTCGAAGGCATGTCCGATGTGTCATCGGATACATCAGGCGATATCCCAAGTTCCCCGATCAATGCGCGCCTCGATGAAGAAGACTTCCAGGAACAAGTCACAAAATGCGACTGGGATGGTTGTCCAGCGGGCGACCAGGGCAATATGGACAAGCTAGTTGAGCACATCCATAACTCGCATATTGAGAACCGACAGAAGAAGTACACCTGCGAATGGATGAGCTGTACTCGAAAGGGCCTACCACATGCTAGTGGTTATGCCCTCAAGGCACACATGCGCAGCCATACAAGGGAGAAGCCTTTTTACTGCTACTTGCCTGGTATAATCACCTCGGCGGATTTTCCTATGCGTAACATGCTAACTCGCTGCAGAATGCGACCGGTCTTTCACAAGAAGCGATGCATTGGCCAAACATATGCGTACGGTCCACGAGACAGAAGCACTTCGCCCATCTGACCCTGTCCCCAAGTCGATGCAAGCTGGGCCACAGGGCAAGGGAGGCAAGATAAAAATCATCATGAAGACCAACCAACAATCGCAAGGCCCCCATGATGACATGGACGATGCTGCCAACGGCGACGAATCTAACGCCGAGTACTTTACACCATTGACGCCAGATCTCTTCACCCCTGATGAGCTTGAGCTTCCTGTCGACAAGCTGTACCGAAAGTGCCATTGGGAGGGCAAATGGGCCGAAGAGATTGGAGAGTCTCTGACGAAAGAGTGCAAAGAGTGGGAGGATATCTACTACAAGGAGTGGCTCGAGAAGGAGGTGTTGCTTTCGCAGGTCATTAAGAGTGAGGTTAATTGGCATGAGCGACGACAGGCTATTCTTACAGGGGTTGTCGATGTTCACGTTCCTGGCGCCGTAGAGAGCATCGAAGGCGAGAGAACAAACGGTGCGAACGCTGAAAGCGAAGTAGCTGCCAACGGGACAAAGGTGGCAGAGCTCACTGCGTAGGGAGATCTTTCACGAAGCAGCACCGATATCTCGATACCACGACGAAATCCGCCCACACATCGCCGGATACCTTATGCAAGGCAGATATACATAAGTCCGCACTTTGCACCATAAACTTTGCACCACAAAATATTTCACGGAAGGGAGTTGAGGGAGTTGGGTTATGATGAAATTGGGAGCTTTACAATACGCGGGTTCTAGTTCACAATACAGCTGACTAAATCATGATTTAATTCAAGCGGTATACATACATATATGCCCACGTAGCATGTTCTTACAGAGCCTTCTTCTTGGCCCGATACGATTGAGAGTTCTTGAAAGGGAATCCGCTTGTGCTCTGGTCAAACTTGTGGTACCGGCTCGTCATGGCTGTATCACCAGCAAACAACACACAGTACAATCCAAAGGTCGCAAAGACAGCACTACCTACACAGCCAAGCAAGAATCCCGTCTCCCCAGTCCAGGAATAGCGACCGTAGCAGTAAAAAGCACTCGAAGCGTGGTGGAGGGTGGATATGAGGACCGCAGCGGAAGCGTAGGGAGATGGTGCGCCTTCAGGGGCTTCTGTCATCAGGAGTTAGACGAATGCGACTGTAAATGAGGTGATTGCTACCTTTTGAAGGAGAATCGAGAGGAAGAACGCCTGAGAGAACCACTACGGTAAGGCCGAGCGCAAGAAGAGCGAGTCCTAAAGAGCGGGCAAAGTACGTTTCCAAAGCTAGGTAGAGAGTTAGTTGTTAGCCGACACGATAACGAGGAGCTGTAGGAGAGCCTAACTGGTACATGTCTCATTGTCAGGCCGAAGAAGAGATCCGACAAAGGAGGGCCAGACAACAAGAGGAAGAGCTTGAGTGCTCAACCAGAGAAAGTTACCGTAGGTGTATGAAGCAATGGCCTGGTACTTGTCAGTCAGTGAATTGAGAGCATGATAATGGGAGCGCATACGCTCATTATTCGAGGTGTGTACAAGTAAAGTTTGAATGAGGATAGCAAAAGACAAAACCACGATTTGATCAAGGTGAAGCTATCTACTATAATTGAAGATGCAGGTTGTAGCTGGAGCTGAAACTTTGTGAGCCGATCAATGTTTAGAGGTTAGAGGCTTAGACCAAGCATCGACGTCACCATCGACAAGGCACCTAGTAAGTACCTATGAAAGGCATGTGCGCTAGTGCCCCATCCCATCGCATCCGGCTTGCTTTCCATGGAAACCCACACTCCCGAACCGAGAGGCTGAACGGCTTGAATGGTTCGCCACCAAAATTTATAGAGCCGCTTCTGTCTGGTCCGATCTCGCTTGTCCAGTGTCCCGCCCCAGGCCCAGACTGTGGAGGGTCTAAAAATTACCATTGCAAATCACATCGTTTTTATTGCCTACCTATCTATCACTTAGCACGGCCTGATGCGCCGTCTTCGCCGTGTCCGACCCTCCGAGGAGTTATACAAAACCAAACCCATGTGTAAGCCAACCCGGGAGCAAGTAGCTATCAGAAACATTTCATACCTTATTTCTGGATTAAATTTGAGACCTTTTTGTTCTGATATCAATCTTTCTTCTCTTTAATCTTCCATTACTGCAAAATCTTCAGGGCAAGACTGCAGGTTTATTTGTCAGCTAACTACTCTACTCAGCTTGCTCCAGTCACAATTACGTCCAAGTCTCCAGTTAAAAATTCCCGACAGGCAACTTCCACTTCGACAAGAATATCCTACCATCGACAGGCTCTCACACTTCCAACAAGGGCATCCTCCTCCTCTGCCTCATACAACATCTCCTCGAAAAACCGGCGCTATGAGTGCCATTCTCTCTGCCGACGACCTCAACGACTTCATCTCTCCTGGCGTCGCTTGCATCAAGCCCGTCGAGACTCTCCCCGCTGCCCCGCCCCCGCAATCTCTCGAGACTGAAGTTATACTCGACGGCCAACAGCCCGCTACGAATCCGAATGCGCCCGCTCAGATCTCCCTCACAGACTGTCTAGCCTGCTCTGGATGTGTTACATCGGCCGAGGCTGTCTTGGTGAGCCTACAGAGCCATGCCGAAGTCCTCGCAACTCTTGATTCGGCCCCAGCCTTGAAGTTGGTGACAGACGATAGTGGCAAGTTCAGAGTGGAAGGGCTAGAGGAGGAGAATGCGAAGCTCTTTGTCGTCAGCGTGAGCCCTCAAACAAGGGCCAACTTAGCAGCAGCAATTGGCGGAAGCGTGTCAGAGCGCGATGTCGGGCACATGCTGGACAACCTGTTTCGTGGGCCCTCTGGAATCGCCAGTGGCGGCAAATACAATAACGAGTTCACATGGGTGGTTGATACCAATACAGCAAGAAAGGCAACCCTCGTTCTTGGGGCAGATGAAGTTCTCAGCACCTCTCAGACCGAAACCGCAACCCCAGCCAAACCCATTTTATCCTCGTCCTGCCCCGGTTGGGTGTGCTATGCGGAAAAGACACACCCCCACGTTCTACCCCATATTTCAAAGGTGAAGTCGCCACAGGCCTTAATGGGCACATTGCTAAAGACGACACTGAGCCGAACGCTGGGTATTGCACCTGGCCGCATCTGGCACCTGGCTGTTATGCCCTGCTTCGACAAGAAACTGGAGGCAAGTAGAGAGGAGTTGACTGAGGAGGTTTGGGCTGAAGGGGAAACCGGGGGACGTGGGGTTCGCGACGTTGACTGTGTCATTACGAGTAAGGAGATTCTCATGCTCGCCGAGTCAAGAGGTCTCAGCTTCTTCAATCTCCCCAAGACACCGCTGCAAAGCAAATGTCTAACCCCATTCCCTGATCCAAAGCTCCACGAGTTTCTTTTCCCTCGTACACGGACCGGAAATTCACCTCGCGAGGCCGGCACTTCAGGGGGTCTTCTATATCATATTCTCAAGAGCCGGGCGGCGCAGAGCCCTGGCGCAGAGATTGTGCATACACGCGGCCGCAACGTTGATGTTGCTGAGTACTCAATATTGGTGAATGGCGAGCCAGTCTTCCGTGCTGCCCGATATTATGGCTTCAGAAATATCCAAAATCTCGTTCGAAGACTAAAGCCGGCCCGGCCGTCTCGAATGCCTGGTGGCAAGCCTTTTGGAAGTGCTCGGAAGCCTGCAGGCAAGGCGGCCTCTCTGGAGTATAGCTATGTTGAAGTCATGGCATGCCCTGGTGGCTGTACGAATGGCGGCGGCCAAATAAAAGTTGACGACCCTGCTGTGATGGAACGAAAGAATTCCTCCGGGAATCCAGGCCCTCAAGAGCAAAAGATGTGGCTGTCAGAGGTTGACGAGGCATATTTCTCCGAAGACGATGCTGGTACTGAAGTTTCCGTTGTTGGGACTGCCGAGACTATTGGTGGCATTTCCCACTCATATATAAATGATACCCTGGCGCATTGGTCGAAAGTTACAGGTATTGGCTTAGATAGACTGGCGTTTACGACATATCGTGAAGTTATTAGCGATGTTGGAAAGGACAAACCGACGGATGAGACGGTGGTGCAGCTGGCCGGAAAGATTGGAGGTGGATGGTAGAAGCAAAGCATGTCGATAGAAATAATCAACTGCCCCTGTTGCCTCGATGAGCAAACCCGAATCCTCCTCGGCCACTTCCGTCTGGTCCTTTTGGTGATCGAATGGGTGCCCGTGGTTGCAATTGCTGCTGCTGCTGCTGCTGCTGTTGCTGCTCATCTCGAGGAGTTACACTCCTACCAGGGGATGAATAATCTGCCTGGCGTCTTTGAGGAGGATGTTCGGGTTTTGGGCTGAAGTTGGGGTCGAATAGTTCGCGCCCTGAGCCTGACATGTTCTGCATTCTTCGTGGGGCATCAAATGCACGATTTTCAGGCTGGCGGTTATCGACCTGTCGCGTGTCGTTATTCCTGTATCCGCCCCTTCCTCGGCCACGGCCGCGACCAGCGTATCCATCTACCTTGGGCGGGGTGACTGTGCCGGGTGATGAGGCTCCTGAGGATGGGTTTGATTCTCCAAAGATCTTGGCTCTGGCTTCTTCGTATCGACGTTGCTTTTCCTCTCTGTCTCGCTTCTGCTTGGCTCGCACTTCTTCTGGACTCATCGGTACCTCCTTCTTTGTTTCATTATCGTCATCTAATGAAAGGCCGGACATGCCTGCTGTAGCATCGCGCTTAGCGATGATGGGCTTTCGGCTGAGCACTTTGACTTGTGGTTTGAACGGGTTTGTAAGAGGAACTCCCGAGTTTGAGCCAGCCTCGATGTAGTGGAAGGTCTGTGGTGTGTCACTAATTGCATAGGATCCTCAAATGTTAGTGACACCTGGACATGTTGCTGAGTTGGGAGGGCTTACGCAGATTCCCACAACTTGCGATTCTGCTCAGTATGCTGCGCCAAGCGCTCCGACTTGGACAAAGACACTGGCTGTGTCGGCTGTTCGGGTTCGCTGGGCATCTTGTCTGCCTGAGCCTCCCAATCATCCTCCCAGGCGTCAGGGATCACTGCGGTATTCTTGCCCATGGCGAAGAGCTTTTTCTTGTGCAGGCAAGGACCAATCTTGCTTATTGTGTGTGTCAACGCCGTCGTCTTCGTCGTGGGAAAAGATGTTTGACAGTGTTATTGGAGATCGTGAAGTTGAGCATGGAGTTGAGGTTCAGCCAACAATTAATGTTTGTTCAGTTGGGTCAGTAGATTGGGAAGGAAAGAACAGGACGGGCTGGTGGGTTTTTGGTTGAGTTAGGCCCAAGAGCTGAGCTGAGGCGAGCTGGCTTGGAATGGATTCACGACGTCAGGCACCCGCATTCTTTTTTTGATATATGTATTGTTTGCTCAAGCTCCCAGGTAGCGCAGCTTAAAGCAGAGACACCAAGACAAACAGAGAAACAAATAAAAATTGTCTGTATGTACATTTTGTCATACAAGTAACAAATCTCGTTTCTCCTCACAACTCTTTAGTGCTTGTGGATTTCATAGGACAAGTGCGGGGTGGCTTGCCGTCTTGGTGGGGTAAAAACAGGCGTATCTTACCTTAGGCTGGGTTGACCTTGAAAAAATGCTGTTGCATTTGATCCAACTGTCTCGTAGTCCGTATATACGTAACACTGAAAACCAAGTTCTTGTCTAGTAACCATTTTCCCAAATACAAGCCTTAGTACTTGGAAGCATTCTTAGAGGCCTTCCTTTCTAGCCCTCCACTGGCATCGATTAGTCTCGATTTTGTGACCGAGATCCTTTCTCATCCATCAGATACCCCTATTGACCGCTTCAATGGCTGGCGGATTACGTTCATCACCCATCCCTCAGCAAGAGATGGCCGACCAAGCCGCCAACACAGGCGCAAAGAGAAATGTAGAAGAAACCCAGACGTTGCGCTCAAAGCTAGTTGATCAGCATATCAGCATGCGTAAGCTTTTCGGCTCAAGGATCGTTTTCTGGTGTAGTTATTAACAAGTCCTCTAGTAAACTATCCAGATCCCTTGAAGCCTCGAGCACCGCTTCAGGTTTACCCCCAAGGCATTACTCCAGAGATAGAAGCGAGGTGGCTTCAGATGTTGAAGCAGAACAGTGTGTGAGTTTCTGAACGTCTGCTCGAGGTGGACTGGTCTCCCACGGCGATATGTTCAGAGCAATCTATCAGTGAACGTATCGGGATAGAAAAGTCCCTCTTTCAATTTCAACCACTGATACTTGGTGCAAAAATGTGTTATTCTGCTCCTCCTTATCGGTTTAAACTATCTTTTTGTATGCAGGGACTCATTGATACCATTGCAATCGTTCCTTGAGACCCGATATGTTTCGCGTTTCCAATTGTTTGGTCATTTGCACTTATGAGTCTTGTTGGCCTTATTTGTAGGATGATTTGAGCATTTAATCATGATAGGACACGCCCTAGCAGGATAATCAGTTACGCCAGGCACACGGCATATATCAGGGCTGAGCTCAAATATATCGACTAGTCAGTAGTTGACCAGCTCAATTGGTCGCGAATAGTCTCTCT